CTGCTATGCAATACTGTAATAATTGTATAAATATCATCACCATTTTTTGTGAATTATATTAGACCCACCAGCTGACTTGTATTAGACGTGTGGGGTCGTTTGTTTACTCTTGAATATCGGCAAAAATTTAACATTTCCGCTACTTTGAGCTCAGTTCAAGCCATTTCCAGTGCTAAAAACCAATCAAAATCATCTCTATTTCTTAATATGTCTTCCATTCTATCAAATGAGACCAAAAAATTTCGCAATACAACTATAAAAAACATACGAAAAAACACTGCAAAGTTGCTGTTTTAATCAAAAAATCAGATTTCAGTTTTTTTCTCTCATTATACACAGTGTGCTGCAGGATCTGTTTTATGTGGTGCACACATACCACATAGATGTATTCTCTCATATCTAGGCCCAAATGTACCACTCACAGTTTATCAGAGTGAGCTGACTCTTGGCGAGATCTACGGTTTGGACACTCACCATAAAGCCGTAGATCTACGGGACGGACCCTGAAAGGGTTAACACAACCCCCCTCCTTCAGAGTGCAGGCACTGTACTTCCCATCTCCAGGACTCAAGTCCGCCTCCCGGTTTTCCCGAATCCCTTCATAAATGTTACTTTGCTCACACTCCAACAGCACGTCAAGTATTAAAAACCATTTGTCTCCATTCACTCCTATCAAACACGCTCACAGGCATGCCTGCGGAAGTCCAAGCCCCTCGCACACAAAACCTCCTTTACCCCCCCCTCCAACCTTTCCTAGGCCGACCCCAAACCCCCCTTCCTTCCACTACAGACTTATACACCTTGAAGTCATTCTGTTTCGCTCCTTTTCTCTCTACATGTCCAACCACGTCAAAAACCCCCTTCCTCAGCCCTCTGACAACAGTTTTGGTAATCCCACACCTCCTCCTAACTTCCACACTACGAATTCTCTGCATTATATTCACACCACACATTGCCCTCAGACATGACATCTCCACTGCCTCCAGCCTTCTCCTCGCTGCAACATTCATCACCCACTCTTCACACCCATATAAGAGCGTTGGTAAAACTATACTCTCATACATTCCCCTCTTTGCCTCCCTTCACTAAATATTACCTTGCTCACACTCCAACAGATCGTCAGGTCCCAAGTACCATTCGTCTCCATTCACTCCTATCTAACACGCTCATGCACGCTTGCTGGAAGTCCAAGCCCCTTTCCCACAAAACCTCCTTTACCCCCTCTCTCCAACCCATTCGAGGACGACCCCTACCCCGCCTTCCTTCCCCTATAAATTTATATGCTTTCCATGTCATTCTACTTTGATCCATTCTCTCTAAATGACCAGACCACCTCAACAACCCCTTTTCTGCCCGCTGACTAATGCTTTTATTAGCTCCACACATTTTCCCAATTTCCACACTCCGAATTTTCTGCATAATATTTACAAACCCCACATTGCCCTTAAACAGGACAAACTCCACTGCCCCCAACCGTCTCCCCCGCTGCGCATTTACCACCCAAGCTTCACACCCATATAAGAGTGTTGGTACTACTATACTTTCCCTACATTCCCTTCTTTGCCTCCATAGATAACGTTTTTTTGACTCCACATATACCTCAACGCACCACTCACCTTTTTTTTCCCTCATCAATTTTTATGATTAACCTCATCCTTCTAAATCCATCCGCCGACACGTCCCAACTCCCCCAAATATCGAAAACATTCACTTCTTCCATACTCCTCCTCCCCAATTTGATATCCAATTTTTCTTTATCTAAATCATTTGACACCCTCATTTACCTTACTCTTTTCTAAAGTTCACTTTCAACTTTTTAACCTTTACACACATTCCCAAACTCATCCCTAACCTTTGCAATTTTTCTTTTGAATCTTTCCCCTAAGCACAGTATCAAACAACGAAAAGTAAGTTGTGTCATTTCCCATTTTGAATTTGATTCCCCAAAATTTAATCCCACCCTCTCCCGAACACCCTAGCATTTACTTCCTTTACAACCCCATCTATAATATAAAACCCTTCCCCTCTTTTTATACATTTATTAAACAAAAGTAAACCCAAACCCCTCCAACACTATATCCCCCCCTGCTTTTAAAAATTTCTGTCATGATCCCATCAGTTCCAGCTGCTTTACCCCCCTTTCATTTTACGTAATGCCTCACGTACCTCCCCCACACTTACATTCTGCTCTTTTTCACTCCTAAAAGATGGTATAACCTCCTGACCAGTGCATGAAATACTGCCTCTGTTTCTTCTTAACATTTAAAAGTTCCTCAAAATATTCTCGCCATCTACCCACTAACCTCCCTCTCCCCATCTACTAACTCCCCTACTCTGTTTTAACTGACAAATCCATACTTTCCCCCAGGCTTTCTTAACTTGTTTAACTCGCTCCAAAATTTTTTCTTATTTTCATTAAAAATTTTTTGACAGTGCCTCTCCCACTCTATCAACTGCTCTCCTTTTGCACTCTCTCACCACTCTCTTTACCTTTTTTTTCCTCTCCTATACTCTGCCTTCATATAACACTTCTGCTTTGTAAAAAACCTCTCATAAGCTACGTTTTTCTCTTTTATCACACCCTTTACTTCATCATTCCACCAATCACTCGTCTTTCCTCCTCCCCCCCACCCTCCTATAACCACAAAACTTCTGCCCACATATCTAATACATGCATTTTTAAAACTATTCCAACCCTCTTCAACCCCCCCCCCCACTACTCATCTTTGCACTAGCCCACCTTTCTGCCAATAGTCCCCTTATATCTCACCCGAACTTCCTCCTCCCTTAGTTTATACACTTTCACCTCCCTCTTACTTGTTGTTGCCACCTTCCTCTTTTCCCATCTACCTCTTGCTTTAACTGTAGCTACAACAAATAATGAACCGATATATCAGTTGCCCCTCTATAAACATGTACATCCTGGAGCCTACCCATCAGCCTTTTATCCACCAATACATAATCTAATAAACTACTTTCATTACCTGCTACATCATACCTTGTATATTTATTTATCCTCTTTTTCATAAAATATGTATTACTTATTACCAAATCTCTTTCTACACATAGCTCAATTAAAGGCTCCCCATTACATTTACCCCTGGGAACCCCAAATTTACCTACTACTCCCTCCATAACATTTTTACCCACTTTAGCATTGAAATCCCCAACCACCATTACTCTCACACTTGATTCAAAACTCCCCCCTGCTTTACTCAACATTTTCCCAAAATCTCTCTCTCCCTCTACACTTCTCTCTTCTCCAGGTGCATACACGCTTATTATAACCCACTTTTTACATCGAATCTTTATTTTACTCCACATAATCCTTGAATAAATACATTTAAAAGTCCCTCTTTTCCTGCCATAGCTTATCCTTCAACATTATTGCTACTCCTTCTTTAGCTCTAACTCTATTTGAAACCCCTGAAACCCAATTCCATTATTCCTCTCCACTGAAACTCTCCCCACCCCCTTCAGCTTTGTTTCACTTAAAGCCAGGGCATCCAGCTTCTTCTCATTCATAACATCCCCAATCATCTCTTTTTTATCATCTGCCAACATCCACGCATATTCAGGCTTTCCCCCTTTGACAATTTTCTTCTTCTTATTCTTTTTAGTAATCTTACAGGAAAAGGGGTTACTACCCATTGTTCCCGGCATTTTAGTTGACTTTTACAACACGCATGGCTTACGGAGGAAAGATTCTTATTCCACTTCCCCATGGATATAAAAGGAAAAGTAATAAGACCAAGAACTATTAAGATAAAATCAAAGAAAACTCAGATGAGTGTGTATAAATAAATGTGTACATGTATGTGTAGTGTGACCTAAGTGTAAGTAGAAGTAGCAAGACATACCTGTAATCTTGCATATTTATGAGACAGACAAAAGACATCAGCAATCCTACCATCATGTAAAACAATCACAGGCTTTCGTTTTACTCACTTGGCAGGACGGTAGTACCTCCCTGGGTGGTTGCTGTCTATCAACCTACTACCTACAAGATATTGTAATTAAAAGATCAAAACACAATTCACAATCACAAGCTTGTAGCAAAGACGTTGGACTGGACACACATGAAGTACGAATGGTGGGCTGGTGTCGGGGGGTGGCTGGGGACAGCAGGTCTTGCCAGCTGATCCATAACAAGGCGGCCGCTGGATGAAAGGGGAATTTTTTTTTACTTCCCGCAAACTGAACCATGTTAAATTAATTTTACGTTGTGTTACATGAAATTGTGCCACAATTCTTCAGTCGTGCTATACCCAGAGAGTGCCAAATAAACTCATGACAAATGACAGTCTACTGTACAGTATACTGTGTAAACATTTAAAAAATACCAGACATGTCATAAATGGTACAAAAGTGACATTAAAACAATATCAAAGATGGTTATCACAAACCCACTACCATTATAGTATGCTCCTCACTTAGTGACAGATTCGCTTTCCAACATGGTCTTGGCTTAGGATCTCCGTCATTAAGTGAAGAGAGGTTATATTCTGTTAATTACAGTATACAGTACACATTTCAAAATATACTAAAAAAAAATTTATAAATGGTGCAGAGTTGACATTAAAACAATATCAAAGATGGTTGACACAAACCCGCTACCTTGCTTAGTGACGAATTCTTTTACTGATGTGGTCTTAGGAACGGAACTCCATCGTTAAGTGAGGAGAGGCTGTACTAAGTTTGTTCTCCACTTTAAAAGATGTTTATAGTCATTATAAAATCTTACCATTTTGATTTTTGTTTATAGTATTTGAATACTTTTGATAAAATTAATTATTTGAAGAAATTTTAAGAAATATAAGAAATTGTTTGTTAGATAATTGTATGTATAATATATGACTGTGTAAGACTGTAATATCCTAATGTAGAATGCCTCATCCAGTATTTGATATTATTGAGGTTTTCAAGGATGTATATCTTTTTCATTTCAGGCTATATTTGATGGAGTGGGTGAACACATAATCACAACCCCCACATTCTAAGCACATTTAGGCATCTAATCATTCTCTCTAAAATGCGGCCAGCACCCAACTTTGCCTGGGTCTCTGAGTCTCGGGAACTACCCTTTAAGCCACACAGGGGAGCTCTTCTTTGCATCAACTTTTTTAGCTCATCTACTACTTTCCAACCCATATGTCATAAGTTTGTCAACATGTAAGGGAAAGGGGTTAATAATAGAATGGGGTTGATATCCTCTCCAGGGAAAAAGGGGAAAACAGAATTCTTCCTCGGGAAGCCATGTGGGGGTCGTAAGAGGCGACAAAAATCCCAGGAGCAAGGGGCTAGAAAACCCCCTTCTCCTGTATACATTATAAGTTAAAAAGGGGAAAACTTTGTTTTTTTTTTTGGGCCACCCTGCTTCGGGGGGGTTTGGCCATTTTTGTTAAAGAAAAAAGTGTAGATATCCTCAGTACTGGAGTTTTTGTGGGTACAATTTTTCTAATTTCTGCTTTATAGGGTTTTTGCAGTTTCCAAGCCAAAAAATTTAGAATTTTATCCTTGTCGCCTGAAACTTTCGGGGATTGTGTATCATTTTAAAAACAACATTTTAGGTTTTTTTTTTCAGTATTAGTAGGGGTCGCTCCTTTTACTGTTTACAAAATTTAAAAAAAATTGTGAAGTAGGGGTTTGGAATACAAAAAAAGGAAAAATTTGGTTTAAAAAAATACCAACAAGATAAAAGTTAAGAAAAACAGTGCAACATCGGGTTTAATCTTTATTGTAGACGTTTGCCCCCGTAGCTTTTTTAAATTTACACTGGAGGGCAAACGTCTACAATAAAGGGAAAACCAGATGTTCCCGGGGTTTCTTAACTTTTATCTTGTCATATTTTTTCCCTTTTCTTGCACAACTTGTCGACACTGCAACATCAGGGAATCTTGGTTCAGAGGAATCTACAAGACCTTCACGTCTACTACAACAAACCCCACCCCTTTGGGGTTTAGGACCTACTTCCCACGGGGGAAAAACCCCAAACCTCCCATGACTATGCCCTGTCTTTTAAAAACTTCCCTTTTTAAAACTGAAACCTACATAAAAAAACCTTTCTCCTTCCCTTTGCTCCAGAATCTTACCTCCATGGTGCTCAAAAAACCCCAACCCCCAAAGGGCCCTAAGGGGGATGATTACCTCATCTTTGTATATAGTTCTATGTTTCTAATTATGTCTAAAAACTGTTTTGATAAAGCCACTGGATGGCGGAACGTCTACAAAACGATAACCAAAATTTGCACATTGTTTTAAATTTTTAAATCTTGTCTTTTTTATCCCTTTTCTTCCCAAAAGGGAGGGATTAAGAAAAATGCTATTTTAACGTTTTAAAAACACATTTAACGCGCCTCAAAAGGATTTTTAAATTGTGTTATTATTTTTCATTTTTAAAAAGGCATCTTAAAAGACCAATAACACACCTTTTTTTATTTTTTAAAGTGTACCTACACGCCAACACAGGCACAAAAAGTGGGTTTAAAAACCCCTTTTGGGGGTTTTTTTGGAAAGTACTAGTACGTCTTTCGACCCGGGGTTTTTTTTCGTACTAGTAACCCCAAATTCTAGCGCCCCCCTCAAATTAGTGAGGAAAGCTGGAAAGGCCCAATATGAAAAAAATTTGGGGTTTTGTGGTCAGTGTGGCAGTATAAAAAAAAAAAACATGCAGCACACAAATGCCCTAATGAGAAAAAAAAAAAATTTGACCGTGTTTTTGGATTTAAAAAACGGCTTTGCCAAATGGGATTTTCGTATGGTATTTTTTTGTTTATTTAGTTTTCCTTTGGGCCCCCATTTTTAGAATGGAAAGGCTATTACAGAAATTGAGATGAATTTTTACTGGTTTTTTTCAACGAAAAAATACCTTTAAATTGAGCTCAAAGTGCAGAAATGTTTAATTTTTTCCCAAAGGGTTCAAAAGAAAAAAAATCATGGCCCCAAAAAGGGGGCCCAAAACACATCAATGGTTTAGTTAATTTCTTCAAAAAGTGCGCGGGTATTATTTTTACCCTTTCCCCTTAAAGCAGTATCTGCATAACAGTAAATCTTATTTTTTTTTAAGAATAAAAAATTTAAAGTGGGGAAACCAAAGAAATTAGAGGGGCCTGGGGGGTGGGCTAACGAACAGAGAATTGTTTTTTTTTAGTGCCAGGGGAAATTTTTTTCTTGTTTTTCTGGGCCCTTTCCGAAATTGGCATCTTTTTAAATTTTTTGTTTAAATTGGCAAAATTGCTAAAAATTTTGGGACCCATTCGATGGGGAAAAATTTGGGGTTTTTAAACGAAAAGTTTTTGATTTTTGTCGACCCGTACACTGGAATTTTGGGCCCAAAATAAAGGGTCAAAGTGGGGAAAAAAAAGCCAATGCATAAACATCATCGAGACTTTCTAACTTCGCGAACATAATTTCCCAAGTTTTGCATCAAAAATTTTATACTTTTGGGGGTCATTATGATCGGGAAAAAAAATTCTTTATCTTTTTTATAAGAAAAAATTTTTTTTTTTTTTTTTTGAAATTTGGCCCACCCTGAGAAAAAAGTCTCAGAGGGCCGTCGACCCCCCCAAAGGGGTTTAAAACAGGGTTTTGTTCATATTTTTTTTTTTTCATTCTAGAATGTATAAACAGGTTTTTATGGTATTTATTTTTTTTTTATTATGTCTATTAGATGAAAATTTTGATAGTAAATTTAAATTTTTGAGCTGATATTAAACGATAATGAAAATTTTACGAAAATCTGCTTTTTTGTGCAATACCTTTTTTGGTTCACGGGGTACTCTTGAGACAGACAAACAGACCGAAAGACGCCCCAGGGTAGGGGCAAAAAGGACACACACAGGAAAAACCTAAAGGGCAGATAAGCAGACAGGGTCTTTACAACAGGGGCAGGTATTCAAAGGGAGACAGATACGACAGATTTTTGTGCAACAATGAAAACAAATATAGTTTGAGAATAAGAGCCTTTTTTTGGGCCTTTTTGCCACAATCTCCCGGGGCAAATTCAGACTTCCCCTTAGGGGCCATGGGGAAATTTACTGTTTTTTGTACCCCGTTAAAACCCCTTTTAGGGTTTTTGTCGTACCCAGTACGTCTTACGCGTAGGGGTTTTTTTTTTAGTTTCAAATTCTCCCTAAATTCTAAACCCTCAAATTATTGGGGGGGGGAAAACTTAGGCCCTTTATTTTGAAAGAACGGTTATGGGTCAGGGGGCCACAGTCTAAAAAAAAACTGCAGCACAAGTGCATAATGAGAAAAAAAAAAACTTTGACCCTTTTTTTTAATAAATCACGACCCTTTTCAGTGTATTTTTTGAGGTTAAATTTTTTGTTTTTATTCTAGTTTTCTTGGTCTCATTTTTTGGGAAAGGAAAAACCCAAATTTCAGAAAGAGAGATGATTTTTTACTGGTTTTACAAAAAAAAGGTGCCCTTAAATTGAGCTCAAAAATAGGGAGAAAAAGGGTTTGATTTTTTCCAAACTTCAAAAGTAAAAAAAATCTTTCCAAGCGGCAATTTCCGTAAAATGGGGGAGTTAATATTCTTTAAAAAGTGCACCATTTAAAAATTTTTACCATTTTTTTCACTAATGCAGTAGTCTGCCCTAAACAGAAAAACTTATATTTTTTTTGGAAAAAAAAATTCAAAATGGAAAAACAAAAGAAATTTTAAGGGGGCCCTTTTAGGGCGTGGGAAAAATGGGCTAAAAGGGAAATGTCATTTTAAAAAAGGGGCCGGAATGTCTTTCTTGTTTTTTTTGGACCCTAATTTGGAAAATTTGGGAAACTTTTGAAATTTGTGTGGGAAAAGGGGAAAATTGCTAAAATTTGACCCTGTACTGGATAGTTGAAATTTTATAAAAAGAGTTTGGGTTTTCCCTTTCCCCCATTCGATAGAAAAAATGGAGTTTTTAAACGAAATATTCATTTTTTTTTGTCACTATACAGTGAAATTTGGGGGAAAATGGGGGTCAAAATGGGGGAAAATCGCCGATACGTAAAACATCGCCGAGACCGCTTAAAATTTTCAGAGCATAATTCCTAAGTTTTTTTATCAAATTTTAAACTTTTTTGGGGTCTTTTTGATCGGGAAAAAAATTTTTTTAACTTTTTATAAGAAAAAATAAATTTTTTTTTTTTTTAAAAATTTTTTCCGACCCTGAGAACGAGTTTCGAGGGGCCCGTCCCACCCTCAAAAGGGTTAAAACAGTATGAACTGCCCTGATAGGGGGGGGCCCAAAACCCAAAACGATGCTGCCTGCCCTGGGACATTGCCGCCGCGGAGTATTGCAAAAACTTTTACAGTGGTATGCGTCAGCCCGCCCAAACCCAGCCCGCCTATGCAACGATCCCTAAGTCCCAAATGGATGTATGTCGAGCCGGTCCCAAGTCGGATGGTAGGTAACTTGCAATATCTGCCACAATTTCTCCCTTATCCCCCTCTATCAAAGCCCCTTTTCATATTTTTCAAAATTTTTTTTAGGGGTTAGGCACTCATGAGATGGGGAAAATTAATTTTTGGGAATATTTTAAATAACCCAAAAAAAATTGAAATAAAGGTGAAATTTTTACGGTATTGGGCAGGGTCAAAAAAAGTACACAATAAAATACAACAGACATTCATTTAAATTTACGTTGTTTAATTCAGAGAACTGCAAACCCAGGATTTATGCTACTTTTGGCCCAAAAAGTTTCACAGGTAAAAATAAGGTTGTGTTCCTTAACTAAAAAAAAAAAAAGTAGCATAATTCTTAAAAAAACAAAATTTTTTTTTCTATTAATTTTGTCAGTCAAACTGCTCGTAAAATATCTGAACTGTATAGATTCGGGACATTTTAAAAGAAAGAGTACATGTTTTAAAAAATGATAACATTAATGCTTTCATTTTTCTTAACCTAAATTGTTCAGGACACTTGACATCTTGGAGTGAAGATGGTGGTGCGACCCTTCCGGGGCCAAAGGGTTGTGGGCTGGGATTTTGTGAGGGGGTCAAGTTTCATCAGTT